GTAGCCCCTTTCCTTACCTTTATAGATATATATAAATAATGTCATGCAGACCATTCCTCATTGAGAAAAACACAAAATACTGAAAAAATTGGACACTTTTTGGAAATTGTCATGCATTTTTGACCAATATCTCAAAGAGCAAGAAAGCTGGTCTCAAGATATAGTCACATTGCATGATCTGACAATATTTTTACATGGTTGTCTTGATTTTCCATATTTGGATATGGACACAGCCCCTTCAACACCATGGCAACAGAGAAGATCACTCTTAATTTTTGGGTATTTTTTTCTGATTTTCTGGCAACTTTTAGGTGGTTTCTATATTTAGATATTGACCCTGAACCCTGAACAAAGCCTCCCCACCTTACTAAGCAATATTCTGATTTTTACATATTTTTTGCTGATTTCTTTTACCATTTTTCCTGATTTTATGGCTGCTTTTCTGTTTAAGGGAAAAGGTTCCCGCAGTGATGAAAGGTAAAATGAATCAATGAATGAAAAATTTGCCTAAGTCCTCAGTTGATAAAGAATGAGTCTTACTCGTAAACTCGTAAGGACTCATAATAATCTGTCATTCCAAAATTAGGTAGAACCCAGACTTGTTGTCTTTCTATAGACTCCTTCAGATCACTAGGGAATGTACATGTAATAGTTTTAGTTCCCTTAACTAAAGGCACTACATTTTCTGGAAGCCCAGGTATTTGAAGTTGATGGTGGAAGGTCTGAAAAAAATAAAGGAACAAAGGGCGGCAACAAACCAACTCCAAAGAAGGTGTTTGTCAATATAGGCTCTCTAACAGCCATTCTTATCATAGGAGATCTGGTCTATGCAGGCATATTGCCCATGCCTTCTCCTCTTGAATGGGGTAAATTCATTGAAAAGGTGTTGAAGGGCATGTTGGATGCTATAACCATGCTTGGGCTAATTGATGAGGACACGATAGTGCCACAGGCATTTGTGGAACTTGACAAGTTTGTCAACTGTGTGTTGACTGCAGAAGAAAAGGCTGCCATGACTTATGATGTCTTGACCAGTGAACATGGTCTTTGTAAGTATAAACAGTTATACAGTAGAAAACTATAACTTAGC